CAATCCTGTGCATTTGAAAAGAACATTTCGATTCAACAAAACTTACGCTACAACAATTCTGATGGAACAATGTTATACGGTAAATTTTAGAGTGACATTCTAACATCTGGACTTGTTCCCATCAACTTATAACCTAGAAAAACCACACGAACAAAAGTTTACAGGTTTTTATTACTACGTGTTTCAGTGCTCTGAAGTGTTGACAACAAAAAGTCTTGAGAATGTAAAGTGAAGGTAAACTTCGCCGTACATTGAAACAATCATTTCGCTGAGAGGGACATTGTGGTAATGATATGAAAATGCAGAGGTCCCTAAAATCTTCTGGCCTAAAGCACTGCCATAACTCATAAATCACCTAGTTCCGAGTTCAAATTCATAACAAATATGCTGCATTCATCCTTTACAAAAATACATGTTCTGAATCTAAAAAAGATTTTGTAAAGGGGATCAAACCATTACTTTTTGAGATAGATCTATTTTTATGGGTCTACAATTCATTCCGCAACCGGAGAAATTGGAATATTTTGGTACAAGTTCATGTACACAGTATAGAGGAGGCTTCAAACTACTATCACTGTAATGACTGCATTCAAAAATCTAAATCATTGAAGAAGCGGAGAAAAAATCTGGAGACTTTGAATGTCAAGACCACTATGTCTGTGAACTTGGATTCAAACACTGCAACAGTTACTGTATCTGAAGTGATATTCTCTCCTTACGTGTTTCAGATGAGAGTCTACTTTAGCACGGCTGATGAAATCACTTTCGAAACCACGTCGAGATCGATGTCCTATGATTCCTTCTCGCGATTATGTTCAAAATTGCATCATGCTCTCGGCCAAAGCTCGATCATTTCGATCTTAAATTTGACACAAAATTTTCTTTATAGCGTGCTGTATCTGGAAGCTTGCCTTATCATACCCATTTTTTAAGCGATAAGAACTGTAATGGCGTAGGACGAAATTTATGATGATTACGTGCTTGCCACGGCAGTGGCAATCGCTAACAGTTTGGAGGCTTGTGTCATCAAGAAAAGATGCTATCACAAAATTTTGATGCTGAATTAGGTACATTTGTCGTTGGCTGAGAAATGTGTGCGCCAAATTTTATATTTCTAAGTTACTCCGTTCTGTGTTCAATGGAAAAAAGCTTTTCCGTTATCCGGACCTATTTTTTTCCAAAAAAGGATATTCTATTTCCCTTGATCATACTTGTTGTCCCAAGTCATAGGGGAAGAGTGTCGACCTTCTGCCACGTGTCAAAAGAATCTAACAGATTATCAAAATGTTTAACAGGTTTTACCGAGAGGATTGAACTTTCCCATAATAGAGAAGTGCGCCAAGGTTCCATCATCTGAGCAGCAGCGAGCCGCGATTTGTAGACTTTCCTGGCTAAATTCGCATGCAAAAAAATTTTAGAGAGAAAAACGAATCATTGCTGATAGATGTTCTGATAAGTTCTAGATTGTTTTGCTCTTATCGAAAACAGTCATACAGCTTTTAGTTGATCACAAATGCTCTTTCACCTCCGCGGAAATGATTTCGGAAAAAAACATGTCAAAATACACCAAAAGTTCAATTTCTTCCTGACACGTGACAGAAAGGCAGTCCTGTAGAATCTGTGAAAAATTGCTCTCAGACTGAAAAAACGTATTTTATAAGGTCCTATTAAAAACATGGTTTGGATGACCGAAAAGTACCGGGGAAAGTATCAGACTACAAGACTTTTGGGACACCCTGTAATGTGATCATTAGTATAGAAGGGGTTATAGAGGCTGTTGTCCAAATAGCATTAGCAGAGCAGGTGTTTACTTATGCATGTAGTGTTTAATCAGCAGGAGACAGCTTTGAACTGTTGCTATGGAAAATTCGCAAGTTCAGGTTGATCCCTTCTGAAGATCATTTGGTCCCCACCCAATGTTTGTTTTTTATTTATAAATCAATTATTTTTCACTAAGAAAAATTTCGTCCAAAACTCTTGCTTGTAGTTTGTGTAACGCTTATCAGTTATTTTAATCATTCACTAAACTGTTTGTAATTTCTTTTCTGAGCTCGACTTCTATCTCGACTTGCAGCTGGCTTTCATCTCCAGGGCTTGTATTGAAAAAAATTATCGATATTGATAGACTTGCGTTCCCACCTTATCCAAAATTCGGTTTACATTGATACAGGTGCGCTTTATTTATTGGGGGTAGGGGAGGGAGAGGGGGGGGGGGTGGTAAAGAGGAGGAAGATGGGCAGAAAGTGTTACGTAGATAAATAAGCCAGCCCTTCCAAAAATTTCGTGTTATTCTTAGCACCTTGCACTCGAGGACGATTTGATGATTTTTTTAGTACTGAAACTTACCAACACTTATCAGAGTGATAAATGAGGTAGTACTTGTCGATACGAGTACAGAATGAGGTCAGAAAAAGGGACTATAGCGGACACAGAGCACATAACATTCTCAAAAAAAAGTTTAGATTGGATTTTGGAGTTTGATTGGATTCTAAATCATTGATTACTTCAAAAATGTGAATCTTCTACACTTCAAGAAGATGTTACCCTAGTTTTTTGAATCATTTCAGCCAGTTCCTATACTTCACTGTCCACTCTCTCGTATAGCTCTACTTTCTACAAAAACTCAGAATGCTCCATAATTTTTATATAAATGTCACTCAGCAGTTCTTTTGTGATAACCTTGTACCCCCAATACCAAAAAAACTACCCCTAATTTCACGCGTATAGGACGCGGGAGATTTTTTGTAAAATCGAACAGCACAGAACTTCGAAGGACTTCGTGACCAAAAGACGTCTTTTGGTCACGAAGTCCTTCGAAGTTCTGTGCTGTTCGATTTTACAAAAAATCTCCCGCGTCCCTATACGCGTGAAATTAGGGGTAGTTTTTTTGGTATTGGGGGGTACAAGGTTATCACAAAAGAACTGCTGAGTGACATTTATATAAAAAATATGGAGCATTCTGAGTTTTTGTAGAAAGTAGAGCTATACGAGAGAGTGGACAGTGAAGTATAGGACTGGCTGAAATGATTCAAAAAACTAGGGTAACATCTTTCTTGAAGTGTAGAAGATTCACATTTTTGAAGTAATCAATGATTTAGAATCCAATCAAACTCCAAAATCCAATCTAAA